CGCTCGAAGGGAGGGCCGAGGACCCCCGCCGCCCGCCGCGCGCTTCTGCCGACTCGGAAGAGGCAAAAGCCCGGTTCGGACCCTTTCCGCGCAGGAAGACGACGCGGGCAGCCAGAGAGGAGATGAACCCCATCGACCGGCAGCCGCGCTTCTTCCTCGCCAGAGACGTGCGTCCCCAGAAGAGGTCAGGGAAGATACCGGTGCCCTTCTGCCCCCACGCACCGGCAGCGATGAATCAAAGATCCGATCCCCCCACGTCGACACGCTCTCGCCGGCGCCCGCCCTGGTCGCGTAGCGCGGTCCGAGCGGAAGATGCGGAGGGGGGGAAGGAAGCGTAAAACAAAGCCACCCGGGAGGGAGAGAAACGGCAAACGGGCAGGGGAGCCGCACGAGGCGGACACCGAATTAAAAACCCGTGCGTCCCCAAACCGGAGGGGACTGCGGGGTGGGGGGGGGGTCTGCATTTAGGAGGACGAAGGCGCGCGCGCACCCGGGCGGGCCTGGGGCGGTGGCGCCTGCGAACCTCCAGCCGCGGGTCCCCCGAACCCCTGGGAAGGGGAACGGCGAGCCCGATCGATCGCAATAGCGACCCTCAGACAGGCGTAGCCCCGGGAGTGACCCGGGGCCGCAATGTGCGTTCGAAGTGTCGATGATCAATGTGTCCTGCAATTCACATTAGTTCTCGCAGCTGGCTGCGTTCTTCATCGACGCACGAGCCGAGTGATCCACCGCTAAGAGTAGTACCTCTCAGTTGCTTTTTTTTTCTCGGTCGAAAGGCCCAGAATATCAAAAACGGACAACACCACGGTTTTTCAAAGTGGAACGAGGTTCGGGACGGGCGCCCCTCCGGTCGTTCGCCCTTCCTAGCGCGCTTAGGAGGGGTCCCGGCCATTCGGGGGTCATCGAACCTCGCCCCCGCGCCCGCCCAAGCCCCCGTCCGTCCGTCGCCGGATGGAGCTCGCGTAACGCGGCAAGCAGTAGGTACCCGTCCCTGTGCCACGGCGCCAGGGGGGCGCACGCGGCGGTGAGAGTAGGAGACCGAGCCCGGAGGACCACAGGAGGAGGAGGAGGAGTGCGGCGGTACGGCTGCGAACGACACAGCAGGCCCCAAGCATCGGGGCTCGCGGCGCAGCATCCGCACCCGCCCGCACGCACGCACGCACCATCCTCCGGCATCCAGCCGGACTTAGCAGCGGAGGGGGGAAAGCGGAACCGACACCGAGCCGAGGCCCGGCTCATCCACCTCCGTGCACCACCACGAGGGAGGAGGAGGAGGAGGAAGAGAAGAAGGGCGAGGCCTTTCGGCCCACCCTCGCATCCTTCCCTTCCCGGCTTTTGAAGGAGTCGGGAGGCGCGCCCTCGCCGGGGGGGCTACCCCGGAGATTTCCCTACGTTAATGATCCTTCCGCAGGTTCACCTACGGAAACCTTGTTACGACTTTTACTTCCTCTAGATAGTCAAGTTTGATCGACTTCTCGGCGCCAGGCCGAGGCCCCCCGGCGAGGGCGCCCCGACCACGGCCGATCCGAGGACCTCACTAAACCATCCGATCGGTAGTAGCGACGGGCGGTGTGTACAAAGGGCAGGGACTTAATCAATGCGAGCTTATGACTCGCGCTTACTGGGAATTCCTCGTTGATGGGGAAGAATTGCAATCCCCAATCCCAATCACGAACGGGGTTCCGCGGATTACCCGCGCCTGTCGGCGGAGGCGAGCGACCCGCTGATCCGTCCAGTGTGGCGCGCGTGCGGCCCCGGACATCTAAGGGCATCACAGACCTGTTATTGCTCCATCTCGTGCGGCTGAACGCCGCTTATCCCTCTAAGAAGTTGGGGGGAACGCCGACCGCGGGGGGCCGCGTAACTATTTAGCATGAGGGAGTCTCGTTCGTTATCGGAATTAACCAGACAAATCGCTCCACCAACTAAGAACGGCCATGCACCACCACCCACAGAATCGAGAAAGAGCTATCAATCTGTCAATCCTTTCCGTGTCCGGGCCGGGTGAGGTTTCCCGTGTTGAGTCAAATTAAGCCGCAGGCTCCACTCCTGGTGGTGCCCTTCCGTCAATTCCTTTAAGTTTCAGCTTTGCAACCATACTCCCCCCGGAACCCAAAGACTCGTGGTTTCCCGCAACGCTGCCCGGCGGGTCTTTGTTGTAACGCCGCCGGATCGCGGGTCGGCATGGTTTACGGTCGGAACTACGACGGTATCTGATCGTCTTCGAACCTCCGACTTTCGTTCTTGATTAATGAAAACATTCTTGGCAAATGCTTTCGCTTTCGCCCGTCTTGCGCCGGTCCAAGAATTTCACCTCTAGCGGCGCAATACGAATGCCCCCGGCCGTCCCTCTTAATCATGGCCCCGGTTCCGAGAAACCCATGGAAAATAGAACCGGAGTCCTATTCCATTATTCCTAGCTCAGGGTATTCAGGCGGCGCGTGGGCCTGCTTTGAGCACTCTAATTTATTCAAAGTAAACGCTCCGGGCCCCTGGCAAACTGAGCACGAATCGACACCGGCCTTCTGAGTCTCTCTCGGATAGGTTCGGGCGGGCTTCGACGTTCGTCGAAACCCCCCACCCTGGAGGCTGGCCCGCAAAGACGGGGAGGTACACACGCGCCCATGGTGGCCGTATCTAGCGCCGGACGGTGGCCTAACCCCTGGCGGGCCGGGTATGCCGTTCGATCGGACGGAGCTCGGAGTTCAGAGTTCGGAGTTCGGAGTTCGGATCTCTCTCTCTCGCGAATTTTATGGACTATTGGTCGTCTGGTATCGCTTCCAAATTCCAAAGAACCCGCTTCATCTGATACCCTAGCCCGATCCCCAATACCCATACGCTTCCTAGGCCCCTCCCCCCCACCGACCTCCCTTAACTTCCTTCCCCGGGCTTCTTCGGATTCCCCACTCCCACCCATCCGGGGCTATGGGCCTCCAGGAACCCAGCGCACCATCCGAACCCTTATGGCCCACACTTAAGCCCCCCCCCCGCATTAAACACTTTGATACCGCCGCTACAGAGAACCAGGCCACTGGGAGACCGGGAGAAAAAAATAAATAAAATAAAACCAACGTGGCCACTGGGAGACTGGAAAATCTTTAACTCTGAAACTGATGCCCACTGGTGGACCATAAAAACTTGGACAAATTTTCAACTTTTTTTTTTTTTTTTTACCGACCACTGGTAACCCATAAAAACTTGGTCGTTTTGGGTTTTGGTTTAGCCCATTAGGCCTAAAAAGGCCTCAAGCCTTTTATTATATTAGGCCTAAAAAGGCCTCAAGCCTTTGAATAGTAAGTCTTTGTATAGTGAAATCTTTGAACGAATAAGCCAAAATAAAAGACAAGCAGTGCAATTTTTGACATAACATTTAATTAGAAAGTTGTTCAGGTCAGTAAACTGAGTTATATGGCACCATGTGTTTATATGTCGACCTTGTAATAACATTGTAATAGCATTTTAATTGATTTTTCAGTGTTTTTGAGTGCTGAAGCACCCCCAAAGGCCAATCTGGACCAAACTTGGCATACTCCATTAGAATCTCAATTTGTATAAATAATCAAAGTTTGGACAGGATCTGACCAATGACTGATGAGTTACATGAAACCAAGCTAACAATGCCACGTATGCAGGAATTTAGTGATTAATCCACATGACCCTGAGTAGAAAAGTCAACATGTTTTTGATAATCATTTACCTAGAGATGTCACAGAATTGTTCTAGACCAAGTTTGAAAAGGTTGGTTCAAAATCCAGAGACCAGTTTGAAAAGTATGGTTTTCAAACATTTATCGATTACAAAAAATCTATACAGATTTTTAATAAATATGTATTGGCAAAATTGTTTGGCCCACTGTAATACAATAGGCTGTTGGTGAAAATTGTAATAATATAGTAATAACATGTAATAATATGTAATTTTTTGAAATAGCGCCCCCCAGTGGTCAAATCTTTTGAAACTCGACTGGTTGTTAGAAAGTTGCTACATATAGACAGCATACAAGTTTCGTCATGATTGGTCAATGATAAGCCTGTCAAAAGGCCTGCTGAATGCTTATTGGCCGATGGCGACCACAAATTTCGATGTATCCAAATATCCTTAAAAGTACCCTTGTAGAATGGAGAGTGGATGGTGCATGCCAACTTTGAGCTTGATAGGTTGCACGGCTGCAGAGAAAATGCCCTGTATTTGTTGCTCCGCCCCCTAATTACTTATGCACACAAAAATCGAATGACTACCTCAGAATGGGCTAGGAACATGGTCTGTGAAGTTTGAAATTTTTTGGCTGAAGGATTCTTGAGTTACAGATTTTTCAATTAATTCTGAATTATTTTGAATTTATCCAGAAGGATTCATTTGCATATGGCAGCCATGTTGTACGGAAAACTTGAAATGTTTTTGATAATTATTCACCTCCAGGCTCTTCTGAATTTTTTGACACCAAATAGATGAGGATTGGGAAAAAACTGGAGGACTAGTTCGCAAAAGTAGGTTTCGCATATTTTGCAGTATTGCGAAAAATCTAAGTGGGCGGAGCTAAATAATCAAAATAGCCAAAAGGTTTATTTAGATCCATAGAACCAGGAAAAAAATATGGCTTGTCTGGCAAAAATCTGGTTTAGGAGATATAGACCCAAACGCGTTGGCCTTCGCTGTAGCGCCCCCTTGTGGTCGACTGTGCTGATTTCTTGCGCCTGAGTAGCGGGAGGGACTACTACCTATTGACCAAGTTTGGTGTCTCTAGGACTTACGGTTTGGGCTGTGCGTTCCGTTTCAGGGCAGAAAAATAATAATAATAATAATAAGAAAAATTCTCACAATTCCAATAGGGTTGAACCCTAATAAGAAAAATCTTGACAATTTCAATAGGGTTCAATGCATTGCATGCTTGAACCCTAAATATAGCCGCAAGCGGCAATGAGCGGGTTCAAGCACGCAACAGCAGAACGGGCTCTTCTGCAGGTTTAGCCCATTAGGCCTAAAAAGGCCTCAAGCTTCTG